GAGCATTGCACCGGTAGGTTGGGATCTTATTGGAAACAGCCGACCACGTGCAATACTGTGCCGAGTCTCCTAGGAAGTACACTAGGTTGTCATTCGCACAGGGAAAAACATTGTACCTTTGCATGTACTTCGTGTCCAACTGCTGCCTGCAAGTTTCTTCTCTCTCGTTGAGAAGGTACCGCAGGTCACTCTGGTTGTGTTGGTAGGGCACCCCAAGATGGAGGGCACGAAGGGAGGCTTCAAGGCAAATCTCAGGTTTCGACGCTACCAAAAAGTCTGCCACCCCTGCTGCAACATGCTTTTGAAACGCGTCTGTCAACCTGGACTGCAGCACGTAAGGGTCGTACAGACATGTGGAATGCCGTCGGTGTGACCCAATCACCCATGTACGGTACCTAGCCAGACCGCTGAACCCAACGTTGGCCGGCTCGGAGAACAGCTGGTAAAAGTCGTGGTCGGGGTGCGTGTCCTCCAGCATACCCATATCCAGGTCCTTGGGCTCAGGCGTTAGACTCGTATCAGTTTCTCATGGCTGGGTCTGGGCCCCCTGATCAGAAAGGTAACTGTCCCAAATTCAAATCACAGTCTTGACCGTATTCCATGAGCTGAACAGTTATTGCATGATTTCAGATCTCTAACTAATTAATTAATTAGTTCCAAGTCTACTTACTCCACTCTTTCAGCCAGTCGGTCGTGAAGGGGACTCGACCAAAGACATCACAGTCGCTGTAGAACTGACTGTTCGATTGATTCGTGTCTTGCAGAAACTGACTTGAGTCAGCGGAATAATGCCAACATAACTCCATTGCTAATTGTTAATGCACGGATGTGTCGAGTGTCCAACTGTTTCATTTCAAGTTATGTACTCCCCTCATATATGATTGTATACTAGCCTAATAATTATGTCTACTTACGTCAAAATTTAGTTACAGCCGTAACCACGGTCAGTATCATCGTGGACCGGTGTTACTTGACTTACGAAAGCCGGGGTGTTAAATTTAAACTAAAAATCCATTAAGTCTCAAATTAACTGATTATCTTAATTTGACCCTTGCAGCCTGGTCCTGGTCCCCCTGCCTGACACACATGTGAGGCAAGTTTATTAATTTATAGTCCAAGTGCCTGACGACACTGACTGACTGACGACTGTGAACTGATTAAATTGAAATTTTTTCAAAGTTTACATTTGCTTCACGATCTTGCCTCCGAGCACGACTGGAAACATTGGGGCTTAGAGCCACTCTTAGCTTTGGTCAGTGACTGTCTGACAGTGGGTCGGTCAGGGACGGGGATGTTAAATTAACACGATCCTGAGCCGAGTCACCACTGAGATTGGACTCATTCGTAGCCCTTGAAACAACACAACCACAGGTCTTATTCGATCTTCGATCTTATTATCATGTCATTACATTGACTGACACTTATTTATATTGGCCTTGGACTTAAAAGCACGCTACGTCAATTATTAAACTATTAGCTGAACATACCATTGTCAATTGTGGACCATGAACTGTCAAGCTGACATTACTTACGGGAGGTTTATTTACATTGCACAGTTGAACTGAAGTGTATACTGAAGTACAGTACAGTACCGACAGCAGGCACTGATGACTGAGCCTTAGTCTATTAGTTAGTTTGACTCCTGGTATTTAATAGTAACGCTTGCCCTGCAATGCGGCTAAACTAACTTTCAACTGAAACGGCGAACCAACCTCTTATAGCTCAATTGAATTTGCAATCAAGTTTCTTTGGTGCATTCGACCAGGAGAAGGGGGGTTTCTTTGGCCGTGACCCAGCGTCCGTGGGCGATGTAAACGCTATTCGTCGGCCCAGCTCTCTTAAGCCGCTTGCCACAGGCTGACATGTCAGGGCACGGTAACCCGGAAACGTCGAAGACAGAAGTCTTCACCAGGCTGCAGTCGCAGCCATGTCGTATGCACTTCGAGCAGGTGGCCAACCCAGCGCGCCGGCCAGCCTGCAGCTTGCCGGAGTAGAACGGGGCTTCCTGCCAGTTGCCCTCTAACACATCCGTCACGTCCCCAAAGAGACACGGATCTGACTGTCTCCCACACACCTTCGCACACCAGCGAACACCTTCCTGTAGCAGCTGCTGGCACGCAGGGTTGTATTCCTTAGGTCAGCAAAAAAATCTCTACCTATATTATACTTGCACTATTGCTGAAATATGTTTATGAAGTTCTTTTCCAATAGAGTCTTAGATGTTAGACGTTCTTGACTCAGCCGCTCCTTTTAATACTAACTATTCTTCTGTGACTGTGAGAAGATTTACGTGTTCAACCGAAATTGAATCGAATTTCTGATCTGAATTTCAACTTTCTAAGATTCTAATCTAATTACCACGTAGTCAGTGAAAGCAGTCTTAGTTACCAGTATACACACCCAATGCACTCGATGACAGTGACAATAGTTTTGTTTGCGACAAAGGAGCCCACATAGCCACTGTCGGTATGTGCACATGAAAAGAAAGCCTTTCAGACTGGTTAAGGTCACGCTCTAGAACTGCACGACTCAACTCTGCAGTGCCAGAGCCACTGCAGAAGCTGCTCGCCGAGCCGGCGTGATGCAGCCAGGAGTCCTTGCTTTACAAGACGCGGCTTGACAATTAAAACAAAGTCATGTTCTAGTATTATTTTACTGTATTATACGAATTATAAGTCACTCACTAAAAAATGTTTTAATCGCCTACATTCAGACTGACTGAATATTAATAGGTTGACTGAATATTCCCCGCTCATCATGTTAATTATTTACTTGTTCAAATCCGAAAAATAGTCACACTGTAATATACTTTCCGTAAGGAATGAATGAGCCTGAGAGCTGAGTCGTAACTCGTTCTTCAAGTAAGTCTTCAGTGGGGTTCTGTCCATGGCCCAGAGTCTCTCACAGTCACTTAAGTCGAACCGAACTCGACTCGACTCGGGTCGAGTCGACGTCGAAATTGCTTAGTCACCTAAGCCTAGGACAGTTAATATTAATGACATACAGAATGGTGCGGCTAGTGACCTTACTTAGTGACTCTTTGGTGAGTAACGCACAACATTAACAGCCTCAAGTCGGAAACTATTCATTAATTCATTTAGGTACTTATTATATATTACATTATGACTCTAATAAACTGTCTGTTATTGCAAATTAATGGGTTTACTCATTTAATTAAGTAATAAATATCGTCATCATTGACGCTGCCGCAACCCACCTCAAATCTACGGTATGCTCTGAACAAACAAACAGACTCTGATCTGCTTTTGACAATATTTGAATGTCGTCGTTCTGACTTTGACCGACATAATGATGACATTGCTGAAAAAATACCTACCCAAGCTCGCTGACCTGCTGCAATCCTGGACACTGGAGTGCTACTGCCTCCCTGACACAATTTACGAATTCCTCTGACAGACTTTATTATTTGCCCCATACAATTAATGATTTTACAGCTCAGCTGATGCCTCGAGTTAATCAAATTTCAGTTTGGGTGCCCGGGGTGTGGAAGGGGGAGCAGCACGTCTTATTTCCAAGTAATCCTACGGAGAGGGCGGGATGACTCGCACTGATCACTGTCTTCATTCGAGCTACCTCCAAAGTCTTCGACGGTAGCTCTGCAGTGACGATGTGGCACGCACTCTGAATGCCGCGGGCTGCCAGTTCCAATGCCGTCCATTCATGAGCCTCAGACACACAAATGAAGGGACAGGACAGACAAGGCGCTGAGGAGACATGTAATGTAATGTAGCAGCAGCGACAGTTCGAAAATATGTTACAACCTGTGCACACGTTCGTGTGATGTAGCCTACAACACTCACTCCGACAGCTGAAGCGTTTGGGTCTGTGATGTTGCAATGGTTCATCAGTCAGGCATGCGACTCGTGACACAGCCCGAGTTAGGCTAGTCTTAGACTACTTAGATTCATCAGTGCACAGCAAAATGAAGTGACTGACACACAGCTTTAATTAAACTGAAGTGCCATCCCAGTAACCTGACCAAACGCCGAACTTTGTGTGAGCGGTACTGAGCTCAGATCTGATGCGGATGAGGAGTCCGCACCCGTGCTGCGCGATGTGCCAACTGCAGGTCCAGCCACGTCTCTTGCAGACATGGCATCACTACTGCTGTCGGCATGATGACTCATGCCCTTTGCCATCGCCTGCCCTGCCTAGTGAAGCCTATGTTCCTTGTTAGTAACTCGACGACTTAGTGACTGAATTGACACTACATTATTTACAATATTACAACCGTTCAGACTCAGATCATCAGCAGACAGTCAGAATTCGAACACCTTCCCTCCTAGTGAAACCCAGCTAATTAATTAACGGGCAGAGTCTAAATTAAGTTAGAGGATTTAGGATTTAATGGGTTAGGGGATTCAGGTTTAGGCCTTATGTCTAAGTCTATAAGTCTGGTTACCTGGCTTAGCCTAAACGGACAGTATGCAGTGACTCCAGACTCGAGCGTCGGTAAAATCCTAATGATTTAAATTAACGACTAGTAAGTAGTGTCAGTGTCACTGAGACTGAGTTATGCCAATGAGGGGACCAGGAATTTATCACTGACTGACTGACTGACTGAACCTGGCCTGGAACATATTAATACTAAAGTTAAAGTCAAGTTCAATGTTGAACCGACAAACCTTAAACGTGTCGACAGCACACTGCCTGCGAGTGGCAAGCACACAGTTGGAGCCAGTCATGCATGATCACGGCGGGCATTGCCAGATACTACCAGACCGTTCCCATTACCAGCAGTTACGCTTGAAGTCACTTGGCCAGTCTGACCAACAGCAAGGAGTATGAATGGGCGCCCAGCACAAATCCACTGCGACTGCCGTTGACATTCCATGCAACAACGTACTGATACTTCCCCTCCCTCTCCCCCTGCCTTCGCCTGCTCTGACTGATGGGAAGCAGGGCGACCCGAAGCTCTGAAACTTCCGAACTGCAAGCTTTCACTGCTTTATGTCAATATCTGCATGCAAACGAGTTGCCAGTGGGGGTCCATAGGCTCCCATCTGGGCACCCAGGCCTGACAGAGTTGGTCCACACTGCAGCAACTATAATCTAACTTTGGTTAGGACTAGTGACTAATAATTTAATACCGCCGAAACAACAGCTATTGGAATCACATACAGGCCGTGCTACCGTGAGCAAGCTCTATCTGTCTAGTCTAAGTCGCCTCCTAAGTCCGTTACTAAGTCCTACTCACAACTGGTTACCTGGTAACCTGGTTCAAGTCAATGGGTCATTTGTCAAAGAGCGCGAATCAATATAATAATATTGTTGACCGAGTTGCTGTAAAAGCTGTATGCCTCGATCGGCACCTTCTGGACGTTGGATCCGTCGAACATGACCTGACAAGGGGTAGAATCACAGGACTCGGACAGCGACAGGAATGGTCACCAGGGTTAATTATAAACGTTAGTGAACCTGAATGGTCAGCCACTGTCGTCACTGTCGTTCTGTCTGTGTCTCAACTGACGTACTAATACTACTTTCTGAAGAATCTTAGCTAATGGCTGTGAGACCGATATTTAAATCTTTCGAATTTAGCATTTAGGGAATACTGTAGCATAGGCGAAGCTGTGACGGTCCGATTCGACCAGCCTACCTTCCAGTAGCAGCCTTAGTCATTTCCTCTTCAGCTTCAGTCACGTCGTCGTCGTACTTTATTTATTTTTCAAAATCATACAGTATCATAGTCATAGTATCATAACTATGTGACTGTGAACCTTAATGCTTCAGGTCAAGGTTCCAGGTTGATTCGATGGGAATCCGGGAACAAATTGACAAAGGCAAGGCTTTGAATTCAATTCAATCGAGGCCTTGACTGACGTGTCAGTGTCAGGGGGTCAAGCACTCACAGCAGACCGTGCCTGGTGGGTATAGGGGGAGTGGGCAAGGGCCTATGTATGTCAGAGCAGCAGTCGGAGTGGTTTGCAATGATAATGAATATTTAAATGAAGTTAAAAGAATTTACGTTACTAAGTTTAAACATTACGATTGGTTGCAATTACAAGACAAACGGGCTCGGCTTATCGAGGGCACTACCGACCTGTGACACTGTGAGTCGAGAGGCGACCTGGGTTGGCTGTTCTTGTCATGGAGGTCGACGGGCCTGCCCTCTAACTCTACTGTAACTGTAGGGCGGCTTGTTGTTGGGATTGGGCCTGGGCTACTACTACTGCTATAAAACTATAATATAATTTGAAAAGGGCAATAGTAATAGGGCTGGGTCCTAGGCTCCAGTCCAGGGCCCCTAAACGACTGTCGGTATGACGCATTATTATGACCCCAATCCAATGACAAACACAGTGACTGAATGACTGACAGTTCGCATAATTTAATTTAAACTACAATTCACTATACGGCATATGGACTGGACTAAATGTCTGAGGTCTAGACTAGTACTACTTTCGCTGCCGAACTTGTGACTTCATCAAATGTTTTAACTTTAAATCCCATGAGCCCCTGCCTGCGTCGACTTAAACTTAAGCCCTTTCGGGCAAAGCCCCGGGCAGCCGGACTTAAGGCTAAACCAAGGACCAATAATTTATATTATAATCATCAACAAGTGACTTAAGTAGCCAAGCCGTTTTAAATCTTAATTATTAATGATTCAATGATATAGAGGTTCTGTGGTATAAGGACTCATATTGAATAATTATGTCATATCAGGCATCAGATCATATGCCGGATTGAGCCACTAATCACTGAATCCCGGGCGAGGGACTAAGGCTTAAGGCTAGGGTTTTCTCAACCGATCAGATTGGGTCCCTGGGTGACTGTAGGCGCTACTTAATGCTTATAATGGTATTGAATCTTCAGCATGGGTAAGGGCGGGAGTGCTCTGCTCAGGGTCTGGGCCGACTGACTGACTGACTGACGGCCTGGGCCCGAATCACTGAAATTGATTGATTTGATTGAAATAAGTAAATTCAAAGATTAAATAATTAATTAAATACCCGAATTCCTAAACTTACTGCCCTGCCTGCACAACTCGATTCAGATCCAAACTACTATTTCCTGACCCTGACAGAGGGACCCCTGCATCCTGAATGCTGACATCGTTCTGTTGCACTAAGAGAATGATCATACCACTGCCACTGAACCATAGTACAGTGTTAGTTACAGTCAGTACTGCTTACTACTTGTTCTTTAAACTTATCCTGTAATGTACTGCGTGCCCTGCCCTGGTGATAGATTCTGGGTGCAGAACGTGCAGCTGGGCATGCGGATTGAAAAGCTTCTTCGCCTTCAAGATGTAGACTGCCTCAGATGCGGCTCCTAAGTAACTATATAGTCCTTTATTTTAAGTCTTTGCTGCACGGTCCGACGTGACTCTGACTGACTGAAAGGGATCGTCACTGAATTTAGGGCATTATGGCTTATTATTGGCTTTTTAATATTTTGGGTTTAGGGTTTACATTTACTGAAGGCTTTAATGGCTTGATTTTGATTTTGCTTTGCTTCGTCATTAGTTCACAAGCCAATGCACGGCTGCACACAGGCATGGGCACTATGTCGTATGGTTTCGGCACAAGCTGCCATGTCCCAGGCGGCTAGGTCATGGATGTTGATCTTGGGCAGGCCCTTCTCGATGAGCGCTTTGCGCAACGTGTAGAACCTGCCGCCATGACTCTACGGTGGATCCACTGTATACTATACTGACTGGGTGGCCGGACTATTGTTTCACGTCGCTGTCACACACACTCTGCTCAAGCAAACCTTCCCTGCTACGACAAAATCAAAATTCAATTACAGCTACACAGACAATCATCATTGATTATCTGACAGTACTACCTAACCGTACTAAGAACTAACAACCGGAGACATGGGTAACCGTGTTATCTGAAACAGTGTTCAGCGGCGGCTGCTATTATTAGTTAGGGACCTGGATGCTCATCACCCAAGGTACGATTTTAAGCTTGTTCGGTCTGCAGATTGATAGTCTGTCTGTCGCTGACTTGCTGCACTGGGCACAGCTGACTCTGACTGTGACTCTGATTGATTGACTGAGTAGCAATAGCGAACAACATTAACATCAAATCAAGGTTGCTGCCAGGCTGCTTGCCGTCCCTGACGGAATCAATGATCTCCAATTTTTCCGTGGGTCGAAGCGGTCTCGCTTTCTTGGCAGCCAGGGAGCGGTCCGCAGTTGCAGAGCGACTGCTGAGCGCAACCACATTGTCATCCTAAGTTTGACATGACAACTCTGAACCGTGAACGGGCTGAAAAATGAATACATACATACAGAAGACGACGACGATGTACAAATGCTAGCTCGTCAATTGTGAATCAGTGAAGGAACGAATGAATGCATGGCTGAATGAATGAATGAATGAATGAAACTAGATTAGGTGGATTGGGGACAGAAATCAATCTGGCTCTCAGACTGTGGCCTAGCAGTATTATTGATGGAAAGCTACGAAAACTGAGTAACTGTTCATGTACGACTCTGGGTTTGCCTCTTCTTCAATTAGCCAGAAGGAGTCGAGTTAGCACTTTTTTGGAATGGCCTCTCTGATCTGGTAAGTCTTCCACACTCCAACAGCAGACATTTACAGACAGACATTGTCGTACCAGCATAGCTATTCAAAGGATCTCGGCTCGACCCTGGCCCGCTGACTGACTGACCGGAGTGACCACCCTGACTCACTGACCCCGCCCCTGTCCCTGTACCCATAGAATCAACTGCTCTAATCACTGCTGTTTCTGTCATGCCCTGTCGGGTCTGACTGACAGACACTCAACCCGTCCGAGTTTCATTTGTCATTGTGACCAAGCACCCCTCCCCGACTACTGTACCCAGACCCAAGCCCTCAGCTAAGACACAAGACGCAGACTCCGGACACAGGCAGGCAGGCAACAATGAAAGCGGCCACCTGCGTCAGCAGTGCCAAAGCCTTCGCCGCCATGCCCTTCACGCGGGCGTCTCCCTGGTCGTGCTTCCTGAGGTACTCATTAGTAACAGGTCGACGAGAATTATTATTAATTATTAAGACGCCGAACAGCACAGTAAAATAGGAATCTGAATCGAACTTTATTATTTCAGAATTTCCGCATGATGACTGTCTGACTGACTCTGGTCTGGGAAATAAAATATTGTATTATGTATTGATTCGTCTTCGTCTGACCGTCGAACTAACTGAACTGCCGATGTCACCCGACGGATTGAATGAAGAAGCTCAGGCAGTCACTCACAGCACGTACCCAGTAAATCTTAATTGGCGAGCGATAGCAATTGGCAATGTAAAAGAACCAAGCCGAAGCCCAATCTGAAGCCTGCCTGTTACTTACTGCCTTGATTTAAAAAATAAATAATATAGCAGGGATTCGGATCCAATGCAAAGGTAATGGCACTGGCAAATGTGCATGAGCTCTCCGGAGCCTGCACCCAGGGCTTGGAGGCGTCCTGGCAGGGATGGGTGCAGATTCATTCATGAAAACCGGCATTGTCAGCTTATTAAAGTTAGTTAAGATGTTCAGAGGCCCTACTAGGCAGTCGGACTCACGAGCGAGGACTCTATCTACCTTGTAGAAAAACTACAGCAACACTCTGACTGACTTTGTCTGAGACTCAGAGTCAAAACTGTAGTCTGAGTAGACTGTAGTCGTTAGTACTGTACGACTACTAAGTCACTACGGCGCTGTGTGACGGAGATGCTGACATTGACTGACCCCACCTGCCTGCCACCTTTCAACACCATGAAGTAGTCTACACTTAAATGCGTCATTTGTTACTGTTGCAGTTGCGATATAATAGAGTTGCTGCTAATCTTGCCGTAACCAACGAACTGAACTTGCAAAACCCTTGAAACCAACTCGACGTCGACTCCAGGACTCCAGTCCAGCAGCTCGGTGGCCCACATATCCGTGAAGTAGCCCGTGGCACCCTGAGGAACCAGCCACTGCAGCGGGAAAATGGTGTCGCTGTCTGCCGGCACACGGATAGACATCAGTGGCATGCCTCGTCGGCAGGTTCTACACTACATTCAGGGTTTATAGTTATTTATTAACTATAGGGCG